TTATTTCCTCACATGCCACCATGTGCCAGGTATTAAATGTTGTGTAGCTATAGCTAGGACCAAGCCAGAAAAAGTCTGTACTAAAATAAGACTTTCTTAAACTGAATCAAAGACTTACGTAAGCAAGGCAAAAGAGCAGGCAAGGCACCTGGCCTACCAGAGCTCAGGAAGGTCTTGTACTAACACTCTGGGGATGATGTTTGGTGACCTTTAAACATGAACCCTTTAAACATTAAAGTTTTATCTGTTCCCAAAAGCCAAGTAGGAATACCTCCCATTGAAAATGTAGTATATTTAAAATTCCATGATTTCATGAATGAAGATAGCATTTGTTTAATTCTAATGACGTGGCAACATTTTATAAACTCATGTTATTCTGTAAATTAAGGCCAGGGAATCTGAGTAACAATGGAAATTGCAAGCAATTCCGTGTGTCCATTTTTCTGCAGAGAGGGCTCTTTCATCAGCTATTCAAGGGCAAGTACTGGCTTACAGTTAAAGAGGAGGAATGCAGAAACCAGTTTTCCCGGGATTGAGGCCCAGCTGTACCACCTCTTAGAAGTGTGACCTTGGGCAAGTTGTTTAACTTCTCTCTCTCTTTTCTTTTTTTTTCCTTTTTCTTCCTGATTAGTTAAGGGAAGCTGTGGGGGTGGGGAAGGAACAAAGAAATTTGTACCTGGCTGTGATCAATGAATTGTAAACACTTGCACTCTTGCACTCTGACCAGCCAACCTCTCTTTACTTTGGTTTTCTCATCAGTAAACAAGGATGATAACAGAAACTAGCTTATAAAGATCCTCCTCCGTGGCACTAATCTTGTGTTATAGTGATATATTTGATTATCATTTGTCATACCCTCTAGGCTGCAGGAGCTGGATCTGTTTTGTCTCATTATTTTAGCTTCAATGCCTGGCACATAGCAGTGTCAATAAATATTTGTGAAATAAATAAATGCCTCAACAATTCATAGGATTTCAACAATTAGGTCTTTAAAAGCCAGTATAACAAGAACTCTTATCTTTTAATGAGTTTGATAATGTCCCCCAAAGCATAGAATTTCTAGGTTTCAACCTGATTATCTTTTTTTTTTTTTTTGGCCTTGCCACGCAACTTGCAGGACCTTAGTTCCCTGGTCAGGGACTGAACCCCAGCCAAGGCAGTGAAAGCACCAAGTCTTAACCACTGGACCACCAGGGAATTCCCCAAAACTTGATTATCTTAATTGCACTTCACCTTCCAGTCTGAGCCAGAAAACAATACTGGCTAGTTCACTTAATTCTTTTAAATCACCTGTATATTGAAATTTTAAAAGAAAATCAAAGCAAAATACTAACTGATTTAGGTTGCTGAACTTTAGATTAGTTTAGATCGCATTGAACTTTAACCAGTTTCCTTTTTGGTTGTGAGAAAAGAATTCGTTCTTCATGTACTCTTTTCAATTTAAAAATTATTTCTGGGACTTCCCTGGTGGTGCAGTGGTTAAGAATCTGCCTGCCAATGCAGGGGACATGGTTTTGAGCCCTGGTCCGGGAAGATCCCACATGCTGTGGAGCAACTAAGCCCGTGCACCACAACTACTGAAGCCTGCACGCCTAGAGCCCGTGCTCCACAACAGGAGAAGCCACCACAGTGAGAAGCCTGTGCACTGCAACGAAGAGTAGCCCTGCTTACCACAGCTAGAGAGAGCTCATGCACAGGAACGAAGACCAAATGCAGCAAAAATAAATAAATAAATAAATATAAAAAAATAAAATAGCACCCATATTAAATGAAGTGTAGGTTTAAAAAAATAAATAATTAAAATAAAAATTATTTCTGACTTCCCTCCATGTTTAGGACACAAATTTCCAGGATTCAAAGACAGAACTTTAACAAGTGTTTGTCAGAGCACTTTCCCCTCCTTATACCTCATTTATAAGTCATATAGGTTAGCAATTATCAATTTAGCTCTCAATTCAACATCTTAAGTACCAGATTCCTGTCTATTAAACAAAAAAATTTCACTACTCTTAGGCAAAACCAAAAGAAAAAAAATAGAAAAAAAAAAACAAATTAAAAAACCAACCCCCCCGAAACAATAACAACCCTCCGCTCAGAAACCAAAAAATCCAAATCAAAGAAGAAAAAAACAAAACCCAAAAAACAGAACACATTGCATTTTCTGAGAAAGTTTTAAAATAATTATTACAATTACCTACAGGGGAGAATCCTTCCTTGTCTCTTCCAGCTTCTGATGTTTGCTGGCAATCCTCAGCATTCCTTGGTTTTCTCGACGAAAAATTAATTAGTCAATCTAAGAAAGAAACAGAAAATTTTATTTGAGCCAAATTTCAGGATGATAACTGGGGAAAAGCATCTCAGAAAGCTCTGAGAACTGTTTCGCCCGTTAGAAGTTAAGGCACTGTTACCTAAGTTTTTTGAGACAGAGGGCTGTACATCAAATGACCTATTATTGACAGTTTACATAATCTGGATCTGCAAGTACAAGGTGATGGGTCATGTGACCCCCTTACAAGCTCAAGAAGGAATGTTATCTTTTAAGGAGTTGTCTTGGTGCTGGGAGAATGTTGCTCTTTATGGTTGAGCATCATCCTGCTGATGCGGAAGGTTTGGTCCATGCATAATATAGACACACAATGCACAGTGGTGGGAGAGAGGAGGCCAAAGGGCAGAGAAGAATTTTTTTATGTTTAAATTTTTCTTGTCTGGCCGTAAACTATGAATTTTACTTCACAGTTTGTAGCTGCACCATGCCAATATCTGCCTTCACTGTCACATGACTGTTTTCTTTTTGTGCATCTCTCCCCTTTTCCTATAAGGATGCCACTCTGCTCCTGTATGATTTCATGTTAATTACATCAACCACCACCCCATATCCAAATTTATTCACATTCGAAAGTACCGGAGTTTAGGACTAACCTCAACATATCTTCGTGGGGGGACACAATTCAACCCACACGAGTATTCTTGGAACTTTTAAGTTGTGTGAGTTTTTGTAGTAGGAATTCACTGCCGCTTTAGGCATCATGTATCCCTTAAATCTTGTTCCCCTTTTACAACTAAGAAAATAGTGAATTTGGTCAGTTTTATCTGAGAAAGTAAACTTCTGACGACTTGCTAACAACAGAGACTGATATACAATACCTGGAATTTTTACTAGGATAGGGGATAGTAAATGACTAGGTGCTTTTAAGATTACTTTTCAAGAGAGACATCAACAAACTTGGAGAGAGAGGTGAAAAATTTTAAACTAGCCCTTACAATCTTAACAAGACCTTCAGCTATTCAGGGATATGCCCTCCCTCTCACACTCTTGTTTCATTCTCTCCCCACTCACTCCATTTTCCCCCCTCCAGGTATGACCGTCCTTGGTAAGGATGCAACACACATTACTATAATTTTGTAGATTTAAACAATTGAGGTACAACTACATACAGCAAAATGAGAAGGGCAAGCAAATTTGTGCTCTTTCTGAAAGTTAGTAGGCTTCATAATTTTGTCTCTATTTTATTTTATTTATTTATTTTTTGCGGTACGCGGGCCTCTCACTGTTGTGGCCTCTCCTGTTGCGGAGCACAGGCTCCGGACGCTCAGGTTCAGCGGCCATGGCTCACGGGCCCAGCCGCTCCGCCCCAAGTGGGATCTTCCCAGAACAGGGCACGAACCCATGTCCCCTGCATTGGCAGGCGGACTCTCAACCACTGCACCACCAGGGAAGCCCTATTTTATTTTTTCTAGATTCATTTGCTTTTCCTCCTATCATGCTTAGCCTTACACAGCTATTTTTTATTTTCAAATTCTCTCAAGTGCTGTGTTCTACTTGGGAGTTTCTCCCAACTGGAATGGCCTTAGCTGGCACACACCTTTCCTTCAGAACTCAGCGTCTTCTTCGAAACCTTCCCTTGGGTTTCTGAGTTCCTTTGGCACAATGTATGTGATTCTTTTTATTTTTCCCTGTTCAATTACTAGTCTTAACCAGACTGAGTTCTTCCTCTTAAGACAAAGGTGGGGGGGTGTGATGTACCTTGTCTGTCTTTGCATTCCAGGTGTGGAGCCCAAAGCCTGACACATAGTGTGCGCTCAATAAAAGTTTATTGTCAGTAAGTGACAATTAACACGCATATATGTACTTCATAGTTTTCCCGGCGCGTTCACACGATCTTATTTGATCCCTACTACAGCCTTATAAAATAGTAATTATCACCACCCTATCATTTCCTATTTTATAAAGTGTAGAGTGGAGACGAAAAAGTTAAGTATCTTGCCCCGCGCCAGTCAACAGTAAAGCGTGACTCGCACCTGGTTTTCCAAGACTCCCAAGTACCGGGCTCTTGACATCATACAACATGTTGAGGTCAGCGCCAACTTCGCACCAGGATTTAAACTTGGGGAGACCCGCTGCGGCCGCACTTTCGGACGCTGGGCTGAGATGCGCAAAGCCTCAGAGGGGCACCTGGGAGACTGGACTACAACTCCCAGAAACCCCTGGGGGCAAAGCCTCAGGTGAGTGGTTGAGATCTAGCAGCCCATAGAGCCGCGACGAGCTCCTACAGACCAATCACGGGCCTGAAGGGCGGGTCCTCCCACACTGAGGCTGGATTGCGCGCAGAAACTAACAGTATTCTGAGTTTCCCCAAACCCTGAGGGGACTCATAGCCTCGGCCAGCGCCTCGGCTGCCACGTCGTCCTCCTCTTCGGGTCTATCCCGCGCCCTCCCGGCGACCCGGCCTCCGGTCGCGCGGGTCTAGCCGCCAGGCCCTTGCCGAGGACAGGCCAGGTGGCCGAGAAGAAAGCACGTGTTTGAGCAGTGGTCTGGGCCAGGGGTCCGCCTGTCGTCGCCTCGCGGCGCCAGGGTCCTGAGGGGAGGCCCCTCCCTCAGTGTCCCCCGGACTCCGGCCTTCTGTGAACCACTGGCCCCGCGCTGGCTGGCGTGGCTCTGGGCCGTCACGTGTGGAGGGAGGGTGCGTCTTTCCCGCCGCGTCCCCGGCCCGAAGAGGAGAGGACTCCGCAGCATGTCCCCCGCGCTCCACGACCTGACGCCATCCGGTAACGCTGTGACCCGCTCTCCGCGCTTCGGTGGTTTATTGTCTCCTAATCCCTGGGGTGATTCAGTCACCACCCGGAGACACCTGGTTAGGTTTCCCCGTGGGCGGGCGGCGCCTTTGAACTTGCGGAGGAGCCCTGAGGTACCACGTTTTCTTGCTGCGTTCCTTCCCTCCACCCACTTCCCCCTTCCTCCCCAGGCAAACAAACCATCAAATCCGTAGAGCACACCCCATACCCGCAATGCTCCCGAAACACATTCTGAACGTCAAGGTAACTACACTTTGCATTTTGGCGTAGCATATTCCTGCAGGGCCCTATGGAAGTTTTGCATGATTGAACGTTCTCATTCAGCGTATGTTTACTGAGCACCTAAGCCAAAGAAGGTTCAGGCGCTGAGAGGTAAGGAAGCCCAGAGAAGTATTTAAAACTGCGTTGAAGTTTTATTTTCCACTTCGGGGTTAGAGCAGTAGTTCTGCAAACTCCAGTGTGCATAGAATCACTATGTTAAAATAGATTAGCAGGTACACAGTGGGTCGGGATGTGGAGTAATAATCCTGAGTGATTTTGATGTTGGTGCCTCCGGCATCAACAGTGAGGGGAAAAAAACAAACAAATTAGTTTAGCACAAGAACAGAATATATTTTCAGCTTTAAAATGAGCTCTGGGCCTTTAATGTCGTCCCTGATTATAATTTGTGGACAAATACACCCATAAAAACATGTGAGGTATGAAGTAGAAAATGAAGAAACAAGAGAATCAGTAATAAGGACGGAACAGTAGCAGTGCTATGACAGATGACGCTGTTCAGCTCAGGGAGGAGCGTGAAGACTGAATTCATAACTCAGAAATTTTTCAGAGGTGAGCTAGTGACCCTTTAGATTTGTAAGGTCCTGATAAATGGGACCGTTAGAATTGTTCATGAAACAAGTGGAACTATGACTGGGAAACATTTGATCACTGTTACTATAAAGTAAGACCTGTATCTCTCACAGGGGTGTCATTTATTTATTTGAACAATATCTCTTACCGATGACTTCTGGCCTTCCCCTCCCCATTTAATTAAAAAAGGAGGTATGTGATTTCCCTTATCCAGCAGCAAAATGCCTCTAAAGATTTAGAATAGTTTGAATACTGAGTGATCTTTGTACAGCAGATGAAAGGAAAATTGTTGAGTATTTGAATCTAGCTCAGCTCCCTGACCCCAAGGCTCACTTCTATAGCTTCTCTCTGTGTGGGCAGCCTGTATGTTGGGGTGAGAATCAGGTTTTAACTTCCAAAAACCCTTACTTAGTTACTTATTGGTGTCCAGTCTTAGTGAAGCTCTTTAATGAAGAACTGGGAATTCTTGAATCTCGAGGTCAGGCCTTAAGCCTAAATGTCCATGACCTCAGACCATGGTTGTACCCCCTTAGGAAAGAGGCTGGTGGGCTAGCAAATACTTCTTGTGAGAAAAGTTTAACTACAGCTTCTAAACATTTCTTAGTTTCATCCTTGCTATCTATGTTATCTGGAACTCAGTTGTTAAGTGATTAATGAAAGAATGACTAAATGAGCCAGTGAATTGATATCAGCCAGTTACCTGATTCTAATTCTTCCCTGTCTTATTAAAATCAAAGCAGAAATAGTCTATTTCAGAAATGGAACATTGCACAAGCAAAGAGATGTCTACAAAGTGTAGCAAGTTGGTGCAACCTAGAAGTTAGAGATTCAAAAATGAAGTATCTTGCAAGGGACTTATAGGGCAGCAGTAAGATCGTCTTTAATACAGTAAAGTCAGGAAACTGCTGAGAATGCGTTGGGATCATTTGTTTACAATGCAGAAAATGAAAACTTCTTTTCCTTGCTCTGTGTGTTCCCCAGTTAGTGCAGTGGATATGGGAGTCCTAAATAAATCAGCTACATGGGATCATTCTATCCCCAGAGGAAATGTGTTCCTGACACTAATTTATTACCTAAAATCCTGTGTATCAGGGGTTTATTGGTTTATGCCTTCATCTTGTCATTCTTCAGGATGGTTCTTAAAGGTGATAGTATCTGACTTACCCACCTCAACATCTAATTGGTGTTTTAACCAGTTAACCCATATTTGTTTATTCTTTGGAACAATTATGAATCACAGTATTATTACTGGGAAATAAAACATTAGTGGTAGAAAAAAAATCACCCAAATAAACAAAATACATTGGCTAGGTCCTCTCAAACTGGGAAAAACACTGTGATCTCTTAGGCTCGCTAGACAAGGACTCTCTCTTCTGGACTGCGTATCTATATAATACATATATATGTTAAACTTAAAGATATTTCTGAGACACTGTTGTAACTAGTCAGTTAAATGAAGGACCTGCAAAACTTCTACTGTGAAAGATGTTAGGGAGAATCTGCTCTGTTTAGAACCTGACTAGTCAGGAGTAAAATGTACAGAATGTTCTAGGGCTTCCCTGGTGGCGCAGTGGTTGAGAGTCTGCCTGCCGATGCAGGGGACACGGGTTCGTGCCCCGGTCCGGGAAGATCCCACATGCCGCGGAGCAGCTGGGCCCGTGAGCCATGGCCGCTGGGCCTGAGCGTCCGGAGCCTGTGCTCCGCAACAGGAGAGGCCACAACAGTGAGAGGCCCGCGTACCGCAAAAAAAAAAAAAAAAAAAAAAAAAAAAAATGTACAGAATGTTCTAGACCTAATGAACTGAATACAGATAAATACCAGTTTGTTTTGTTGCTTTTATTGTTTATGGAAGAGCAGCATTTCAACAAATGCTCACCCTGCCAAGGGAAAGGAGAATTCTTAAGGTGACTTACTCTTATGAGACGGTTCTGGAGGAGCAATGGTTATTAGAAGCCAGTGAAAGATAATCCCCTACTGGAAAGTCTTGCGGAACACATAAAGATTAGAACAGTGAACACTTATGCTAACAAATATGGGAGGAGGATCTTTTAGTTTCTCTTACGGTAAATCTTACGTTATCCCCCAAAGGATAAATAAACACGTGGAAAATGTAGCTGCATTGGATTTTTTTTTTTTTTTTTTGCGATACGTGGGCCTCTCACTGTTGTGGCCTCTCCCATTGTGGGGCACAGGCTCTGGACGCGCAGGCTCAGCGGCCATGGCACATGGGCCTAGCCGCTGCGCGGCATGTGGGATCTTTCCAGACCGGGGCACGAACCCGTGTCCCCTGCATCGGCAGGCGGACTCTCAACCACTGTGCCACCAGGGAAGCCCCGGTGCATTGGATTTTTAAGGACCTCAGTTGCAGAGGAGTTTTGTGTTCAATCCTTACAATTCCCACTCATATTTGTCTTATTATGTGTTCCCTTTTGCCTCTATTTTCTGTTCACAATTCTCTTGCTCCTGTTTCACATATTTCCACGTATTTGTACATTTCCTTGTAGACTCTAGTCTGTGTATGTAGTTTTAATTCATATAAATATAAACCTGGTAGTTAGTCATTAATAACTTTCTCCCTCAATATTCTGTCTGTACAGTAGAGCAACACAGAGGTAGATCCGGCTACCACCCAGTAGTATTTGGCATGAGCATCCTGCACATTTGACTTTGCCATTTCCCAAGGTTGTCTGGAACTTGCCACTTCTATAAACATCCTCTGATTTGTTCTCTATGGATCGATGGAGACTTTGTTTGGGAAATACCAGGAGTAAGATTGTTGGGTTTTCCTCATGCTTAATTTTACTGACTCCTGCTAGGCTGCTCTCCACAATGGCTGTATCTGTCTATGTTCCAAAAAGCAAGAGTTCAGATTTTCTTTGGCATTATCCAGTCTTCTAATTATTGCCCATCCATTGTGTATATATTGGTTTTGTCTTGTTTTAATTCCTGTCTCTTTGATAGTTAATGAGTTGGAGCATCTCTTCATATACTTGTTGATTATTCAGTTTTTCCTTCTCTTGGTTTGCTTATTCACATCTTTTGCCCATTTTTCTATTTTATTTCTTATTGATTTGTAGGAGCTCTTGGTACATTATAGATGTTAGTCCCTTTCACTTACACTTTTTAAAAAAAAAAAATTTTTTTTTCTTTGGTCGTGCCGTGCTGCTTGTGGGATCTTAGTTCCCTGAGGCGAAATCTTAGTTCCCTGAGCAGGAATCGAACCTGGGCCCCCAACAGTGGAAGCGCAGAGTCCTAACCACTGGACTGCCAGGGGATTCCCAGTCCCTTTCAGTTACAGACATTGCAGAATCTTCCTCCAATTCATAATCTGTTTATTACTTTTGTCTGTGGTGACTTTCATTTAATAGAAATTATTAGTTTGTATGTAATCAAATTCACCTTTTATTTTTTAACATTATAGGTTGAGCTTTTTGAGTCTTTGGAAGTCT